AGATGAGACTCCAGGTGACCTGATGGGGCCCTGCAAACTGGCCCAGAGCCACCCAGGGGGATGCCAAGGACACTAGAAATACACCAAGTCCAGGGAAAGCGGGAGCCCACTGCCAGTGTGCCCCGCCCACACTCTGCCACCCTGGTCCAGGCTCCATCACATGCCAGGACAGCCTTCTACCCAATCCTCTGCATCCTTGACAGAAAGACCTCTTCACCTTCATACCTCATGGCATACAGAGGGCATCAATGAGAGTGAGGGAAACTGAACAGACCTGCAACAAAACAGACCATTTTCTAGAACAGAGAGCAGGAAGTCCCCATAAATCCAATGATCAGGACCCTGGGCTATTTTTGTCAACCTGTGTGGGGCATCCACTTGATGCCAGGTGCTAGGCACTTGGCTGTAAGGGCTACCAAGGGGGTCGATTTTTCCAGTAGTCAGTTATGGATGTGAGAGTTGGATCATAAAGAAGGCTGAGCATCAAAGAATTGATGCTTTCAAACTGTGGTGTTGGAGAAGACTCTTGAGAATCCCTTGGACAGCAAGGAGATGAAACCAGTCAATCCTAAAGGAAATCAACCCTGAATATTCATTCAAAGGACTGATGCAGAAGCTGAAGCTCCAATACTTTGGCCACCTGGTACGAAGAGTCCACTTACTGGAAACAACTCTGATGCTGGGAAAGATTGAGGGCAGGAGGAGAAGGAGGGTGACAGAGGATGAGATGATTGGATGGCATCACCGACTCAATGGACATGAGTTTGAGCAAGCTCTGGGAGATGATGAAGGACAGGGAAGCCTGGCGTGCTGCGGTTCATGGGGTCGCAAAGAGCTGGACACGACTGAGCAAAGAGCTGGACACGACTGAGCGACTCAGCAACAACAAAAGGGGCAATGCAGCTCCTGTCCTCCAGGGATGCCTGTCCGGTCCAGGGAGCAGAACACATCCTGATGGGCCAGAGCGTGTCGAACAGGAGCCCTAAGCAAGGAGAAGGCAGCTTGGCCAGAGCTGAGTCAGGAGACGACTCAGGGACAGCATCCGAGGAGGAGTCAGAGGCAGAGAGCCAAAGAGAGGGGAGGGAGACCCCTCCACTCGGAGGGACTGACAAGTTCAAGGGCCAGGTCTTGCTCAGCCTGGACCTTGGGCCTACACCGGGGGTGCACTGTGGGCTTCAGAAACAAAGGGCCCTGGATGCGGGTACAAGATAGAACAGCCTCCTATGGATTCTCCACTCTAGAGACCATTGGGCAGAAGAGACGGAATTCATACTGGGGGTGTGTGTGAGAGAGAGCGAGCGAGCAGGGACAAAAGGAGATACCATTCTGCAGATCCTGCTGCGGTTTCTCCAAGCTCCAGCAAACACCAGGCTGGCAGGGCCACCCGGAGAGGGGACCACAGCCAGGAGTGGAAACACATGAGAGCCAGACCCTAGACAGCATCAAGGACCCCAGACAGAGAGCCAGCTCGGGGTCTGCCCAGCTGCCGGCTCCTCTCTGGTACCTAAAACTCCCCACCTTTCTGCTCAGCTGCCCTCCACGGGGATGAGAGTTCCTCTGTCCCCAGACCCCGCCCCCACCGTGGGAAAGTCCTCTGGGGGAGCAGATATGGAGAAGGTGACATCACAGGGCAGCCAGGAGAAAACTCCGGAAGGCAGAGGCTGGGACGAGTCACTGTCCCCACTGCGCTTCCACCCTCTGAGGCTTGGGAAGCAGCTCTGAGAGCCCTTCACTCCTAACATCCAATCACTCATGCAGGGTCACCAGCTGGCTGCCCTCTCTGAGTCAGTGAGGAGGGTCGCTCAGGCTTCCCCCAGGGTCCACTTGCGGAGGAGGAGGAGGACAGAGTTAAAGAACCTCGCCTCTCTCTCCAGCGGTGTCTGGGATACACAGCTTTCCTCTGCCTCCCTCCCCGGCTCAGCTCCCCATCTCCGCCCTCACTCAGAGACTCCCTTATGTCGCCACGGGTCGCTGTCATTCCCAAGGGCCACCACAGAGCCCCTCCAAGCTAGCAGAGCTGAGGAAGGACAGACCACCCACACCAGCCTCCAGCCCGGCTGCGGACAGATGCAGCCTTACTCCCTCGCACTTCCAGCGGTGACAGTAGTCTTTAAAAGATTAGAGCAGAATCACAGGGACTTCTGGCAGTCCAGTGGTTAAGACTGCACACTTCCACCGCAGTGGGTGTGAGCTCAGTCCTTGGTGGGGCAACTAAGATCCCGCATGCCAGAAAATTTAAAGAAAAAAAAGCCAAAGCACTTCCCTTTCAGTTTCTGAGAGAAGAAACAGGGGTGTAGGGATGGTGATGGATGGGTCCCTCTCCTGGGAAGGCCCCCCGTGCTGTCCTGCCCAGAGTGACTTAGTCAATAGACCTAAGTGGAAGGTCGCAGGGGACAGGCCTGGAGGATCCCCCAGCAAGACAGCTCCCCCAACCCCAGGATTCAAAACACCTAACATATAGGTAAGGTTCCTCATACACATCGCCTTCCATAGAGATCATGCATTAACCCCCCTGTAATCAAACCAAATATAAGATGAGACCCCAGACAGTGAGCCTGCAGCCCCAAGCTGGGGCTGAAAGTAACCAGGCAATGGTTCAGCAAGGCACTGGAGGGAAACGGGGAGAAAAGGGAGCCAGGCATTTAGAGGACTGCGGCAGACATGAGAGCCCAGCTTTGAACTTTTCCCTGCCCGCGGTGACTCTCTGAGAGTCCTAAGGAGGGTCCACGGCCCCCTGAGTGCGCATCTCCTGGGTTAGCCAGCCCTAAAGGGCTGGGGAGGAAGGCTGGCCGTGCCCAGAGGGACCTGGGGACCAGACCAGAGCCTGGTCACCTGACAGGTAGCACAGCCCCAGCGGCTGAATTGCCCATTGCTCTAGCATGGAATTGAGCTGGTGACCATCTGTGGAGCAGCCCCTGAGCCCCGGCGGCAGCCGCTGAAGCATGCTCAGTGTAATTAGGAGCTGCCCAAGGGTGACGTGCACACCGCAGCCCCAATCAGGAGGGGTGGCCTAATGGAGGGGAGCGGGGTGTGGAGGGGCCACGCTGGGCGGGCCTGAGGGCACTTGGAGGTCAGGGTGTCCATGAGGAAGGGAAGAGGGAGTGGGCTTCCCAGCCAGGATGGGCACCAGCAAGGGATGCCCAAGGGGCCTGGATGCCACTGCTCAGGTCTCGTCTCAGGACTCTGAAAGCCCGCTGCTCTTCATCTCTGGAAGTACTGAGGTTAGTGGTAGTGTTCGTCACTCAGCCATGCCCGACTCTTTGCAGCCCTATGGACTGCAGCCCACCAGGCTCCTCTGTCCATGCAGAATACTGCAGTGGGTTGCCATTTCCTCCTCCAGGGGATCCTCCCAACCCAGGGATCAAACCTGGGGCTCCTGCACTGCAGGCAGATTCTTCACCACTGAGCCACCAGGGAAGCCCTACTCAGGTTATACAGACCATCAAAAATTGCATATACTTGGAAATTCCCTGATGGTCCAGTGGTTAGGACTCTACTTCCACTGCAAGAGGCCCAGGCTCGATCCCTAGTGGAGAATTAAGATCTCACGATGCTTGAGGCATATCCAAAAAATGTTGTATATATTTAAGGTGCACAACCAATACACTTAAGTACTGTGACATATTCACCATGAGTCCATCAACACATCCATCACTTCACACCTCTACCATTACCTTTATTGTTTGTTTGATTTCTTTTTTGTGCTGAGAACACCTAAGGTCTACACATCTAAAGTCAGCAAATTTCAAGTACACAGTACAACATGTCAACTACAGTAACATGGCTATAGCCAGCTCTCCGGGACTTACTCATCTTGCAAGAATGAAACTTCATAGAGTGTGCCTACTGGTGATCCCACCAGCCCACCCCACTCAGACTGCGTCTTCATTGCCCTACACAGCGAGGCTTGTTCTCGCTTCCCCCCGCAGCCATACCCACACTAAGCGCCATTGACTGGACTCCAGACCCCACCCCTCCTTGGGAATTCCAGCCCCAACTCCTACCTGAAACATCCCTTATGCCCCAGCATCCATGCCTGTGCTATTCCCTCCCTCCTCTGCTTCCCCTGATATTCTGCACCAGATCCTCTTTTAAACTCTTTCTTCTAGGGTGTGAGTGTGTGCACAAGCATATATAAGTGTGTGTATATGAGTGTGAGTATGTGTGTGGGGGCGGTGTTCCATCAGATCAACATCCTAAGCAAAGAATCTACTATAGCAGATGGTGTGATGGCAGGAGGGAAGCTCAGCAGAGACAAAGGCTGAGTGGCGAGCCCTGGGATGTGTCTTCACAGCGCCATCCACGTGGTCCCGTCTTGTGGCACTGACCACACCCCATGCCTGGTGCTCGTTGAACTGTCTGACCCTCAACAATACCACCAAGGACCATGGAACACAGGACTTTGTCAGCCTCATTCACCAGTGTCTCCTTAGCATCTCACATAAGATCTCGACCAAAATGTGTGCATCACACACGTTGGATGGATGGACGGATGGATAAACAAATGAACATCATGGGCTGTAGGGTCAGAGGTAGGTTTGAAATTCCACCACTAACCAGCTGTGTGACCCTGACTGTGTGGCCTAACACGCCTGGGCTAGCTTCCTGTATGTAAAACAAGGATCCCAGCATCTCACTGTGTGAGAATTCAGTGAAATAGGCAGAGTCTGCTAGCAAGTCTACAGTACCTGGTCATCAGTAGATGGCAAGTGAATGTTAACCATCTCATCTCTCAGGCACCCCTGTGGTATGTAGTACAATCCTGTGACAGAACAGGTGTCTGATACTTTCAAGGTGATGTCCAGTGAATGAATCATGGAAAATTAACTCCCACCACCTCTTTCTGCCTCCAGGGTCCTGACCCAAAGGGAGGAGGTTGTGTGCCCCATCCCCGGTCCCCATCTATAAAGTCCCACTCTGTCCCTGACATTAGATTCTTCTCTCAGCCCTCCACCTGCCCCAGCTTCATATCCCCAGTGCCCGGAGCTATAACCCCTCACCTGGACAGATGTGCAGGTGGTGATGACACTGGTCCCCAGGCTGGTGCTATCACTGAGGTCATCTGGCAATGAAGGCGTTTTCTCTACCCGAGGGGCCTGTGTGGCCTGGAATGGGGGGTTTTTAGGGGACAGGTTCACATCTGTACCATTGCCAAAGGCCTGGATGGCGTTCCCTGTGGGAAAGAGAGCAGGGAGACACAGAGAAATCAGGGGCCCCTCTGTCACTCTGCCCCTCAGCTGAAGGTATCCCAACAGCTACCTTCCCTGTGATGGTCCGGAGCTGGGGGCAGGGTGGAACTTGCCTGAACTAACTCGGCTGAAGCTCCCTTTCAGATACCTAGCAAGGTCTCATACCCAGAGAAGAAAAGAGCAGGAGGGAAGCTGGAATAGAAGGAGATGTACTGGATGAGGAATGAAGAGCAACAGAGAAGAAGTGGGAGCATGTGGAGCCAGGAGGGGAGGCGCAGGCCGTGCCCAGGGCATGAGCTGTCTTCTCTGCAGCATTCGGAGCTGCAGGCCATGCCCCCCACTGCATGCCAATAGCCCCCAGGGCAGCCCCCCTCCCCAGGTGGCCTCACCCACCCTCACTCAGTCAGCTGTGCTGACTGACTCAGGACTAATGAGACCTCTTGGACAAAATTGTGTCCCCAGTACCCAACCATATACACAAGACCTAGAGGAAGCTCCACCTCCAAGCCCCAGAGGCACCTCAAGTGCATCAGATCGCCACCTTAACTAGGCACCACTCCCTCCACTGTGACAGTGCCCCCCCACATTTCCAGTACTGAAGGTGTGCCATCTCTTCTCCACTAAGTCACCCAAGGCCGAAATCTCGGTCACTCAGGACACTTCCCTAACCACCCTCTTGCTGGCCACGAGCTGACCTCTAAGAGGTCTCTCCACCCATCTCTCCTGCCCATCCCACTGCCAACACTGCTCTGGATCAGTGGGCATCATCCTCCGCCCGGAGCACCTGCTACATCCTCTAGTGGACTCAGTTTGGGGTCACCTATAAGAACCATATCCCTACCCTCACCCCCTCCACACGAGAAGCAGAGAGTGAGCCTTCCAAAATCAGATCTGACCACGACACCACCTGCCAACACCCCTTCACGAACCCACATACCACCTCTGCCACCTGCAGGACCCTAAGATCCAAATGCCTTCAAGTCTCCCTGCCCGCCTCCATGAGGAGGACTCTCTCCACCTGTCCAAGTAACCCCAGGCATCCTCGCGCTCTGTGGCAAGGCTAAGCTGTCCACAGGTTCCCAAAACCCACCTCTGCCTGGAGCAGACCAGCGGGCCCTCGCTGCCAGTTCAGCTGACCAGTGCCCACCGACCCCCGCTGTGGGTCAGCTTCCGAGAAGCCTTCAGGGACCCTTACCTCCAGGATGTCTTGGGCATCCCCACCCTGTGCTCCGGCAGAACCCTCTGCAGACCTCCACCCTAGCACAGCGCCCTCTGTACTGTGATGGCCATGATGCTCTAATGGTGCCCCCCCTCCAGAGGGTGAGCTGCTCAGTGACAAGACCTGTGACTTCCACCTCTAAACTCCCAGTGCTGTCAGCAAGGCAGGATGGACAGATGGACAGAAGGAAGAGAAGAGGAAGGGAAAGGGGGAGGAGATCTTCCAGTGGGTGGGTGGTCGAGGGTGTCAGACTAGAAAGACCAGGCAGATGGAGCTTGTGGCTGACTTCTCTCTCTGGCCTTCAGATTAGTAGGAGCTTGATGACTTGAGACTCCAATTCCCAGGGGAAATCAATCCTTAAAGGCAGAAGTGACAGAAGCTGAGACCCTCATCACAGGGCAGTCCCCAAAGGAACCTGGTGAAACCATCAGGATAACAGACCAGAAACCTTCAGCCTTAATGTGACAAAGGCTGAGGCCTCCAGGGGCCTCCGGACAGCTCCAGAAAGCATCTGCAGGAGTGCAAAGCCCACAGTCTGTGTAGTCAACCCCCATCCTGGAGGAGCCCCATAGGGATCACCAGCCACCGCAGAGGAAGGAAGGCAGGACCCAGCACAGTTCCAGGGCCCCCGGGACAGAAGGGGCAGACGCAGGCGGACTCACGGAGGCATGGGTTTTCTGTGAAGTCCTTCAAAAACTTCTCACACTCCTCCTCCATGTTCCCACTCCCACGGCAGCTGCACCAGGGGGACACCACGATGCCCGTGGGGCTGGAGTCCACGTAGTTGGGTGTTATATCGAACCCTGGGCAGGGAGACAGGGAGGCCGAGGAGAGAGGAACAGTAAGGTTTCCCTCCTGGCCCCCAGAGCCCAGGCACATCATAGACGAGGCTTGGGACCCATCCCCCACCCCCACCACCTGACCCCTAAACACGTATACATCACAGCTCATAATCCAAACCACGAGGGTTGGCAGGGGGGTCACGGCATAGAGGACAGCAGAGGGGATACCCAGGAGCCCCCACTCAGAGCACATGTCCTGGCTTTCTCCTACACCAACAGTCAGGGAGACTAAGGCTCTCTCCTGGGTTTATATCCCAGTGCCAGCATTGACCAGCAGGGTGAACATGTGCAAGTCACTGTTTCCCTAAGCCTCAGTTTTCCCATCTGTAAAGTGGAGCCTCAACCCCCACCCAGAAAGCACTGTTTCGAGATTTACATAAGACAGTTCACGTAAACTGCTCAGTCCAGGGCCTATAATGTCGCACAATGAACATCACCCTTCTTATTTCGGAAGCTTCCTAAGATCCTTGGGGCTCCTCCCCTGTGATAAAATCCCAGCTCCCATCACACCTCTTATCTGAAACCAGGCAGAGGAGGAACTGGACTTCAGTCCCTAACTGCAGGACCCTAAGATCCAAATGCCTTCAAGTCTCCCTGCCCGCCTCCATGAGGAGGACTCTCTCCACCTGTCCAAGTAACCCCAGGCATCCTCGCACTCTGTGGCCAGGCTAAGCTGTCCACAGGTTCCCAAAACCCACCTCTGCCTAGAGCAGACCAGCTGGCCCTCGCTGCCACTTCAGCTGACCAGTGCCCACCGACCCCCGCTGTGGGTCAGCTTCTGAGAAGCCTTCAGGGACCCTTACCTCCAGGATGTCTTGGGCATCCCCACCCTGTGCTCCGGCAGAACCCTCTGCAGACCTCCACCCTAGCACAGTGCCCTCTGTACTGTGATGGCCATGATGCTCTAATGGTGCCCCCCCTCCAGAGGGTGAGCTGCTCAGTGACAAGACCTGTGACTTCCACCTCTAAACTCCCAGTGCTGTCAGCAAGGCAGGATGGACAGATGGACAGAAGGAAGAAAAGAGGAAGGGAAAGGGGGAGGAGATCTTCCAGTGGGTGGGTGGTCGAGGGTGTCAGACTAGAAAGACCAGGCAGATGGAGCTTGTGGCTGACTTCTCTCTCTGGCCTTCAGATTAGTAGGAGCTTGATGACTTGAGACTCCAATTCCCAGGGGAAATCAATCCTTAAAGGCAGAAGTGACAGAAGCTGAGACCCTCATCACAGGGCAGTCCCCAAAGGAACCTGGTGAAACCATCAGGATAACAGACCAGAAACCTTCAGCCTTAATGTGACAAAGGCTGAGGCCTCCAGGGGCCTCCGGACAGCTCCAGAAAGCATCTGCAGGAGTGCAAAGCCCACAGTCTGTGTAGTCAACCCCCATCCTGGAGGAGCCCCATAGGGATCACCAGCCACCGCAGAGGAAGGAAGGCAGGACCCAGCACAGTTCCAGGGCCCCCGGGACAGAAGGGGCAGACGCAGGCGGACTCACGGAGGCATGGGTTTTCTGTGAAGTCCTTCAAAAACTTCTCACACTCCTCCTCCATGTTCCCACTCCCACGGCAGCTGCACCAGGGGGACACCACGATGCCCGTGGGGCTGGAGTCCACGTAGTTGGGTGTTATATCGAACCCTGGGCAGGGAGACAGGGAGGCCGAGGAGAGAGGAACAGTAAGGTTTCCCTCCTGGCCCCCAGAGCCCAGGCACATCATAGACGAGGCTTGAGACCCATCCCCCACCCCCACCACCTGACCCCTAAACACGTATACATCACAGCTCACAATCCAAACCACGAGGGTTGGCAGGGGGGTCACGGCATAGAGGACAGCAGAGGGGATACCCAGGAGCCCCCACTCAGAGCACATGCCCTGGCTTTCTACTACACCAACAGTCAGGGAGACTAAGGCTCTCTCCTGGGTTTATATCCCAGTGCCAGCATTGACCAGCGGGGTGAACATGTGCAAGTCACTGTTTCCCTAAGCCTCAGTTTTCCCATCTGTAAAGTGGAGCCTCAACCCCCACCCAGAAAGCACTGTTTTGAGATTTACATAAGACAGTCCACGTAAACTGCTCAGTCCAGAGCCTAGAATGTCGCACAATGAACATCACCCTTCTTATTTCGGAAGCTTCCTAATATCCTTGGGGCTCCTCCCCTGTGATAAAATCCCAGCTCCCATCACACCTCTTATCTGAAACCAGGCAGAGGAGGAACTGGACTTCAGTCCCTAACTGGGCCAGGGGCAGCCGGGAGCCGCTGAGATCCCCGGCTGGGTGGCTTACCGATCATGCCAGCGTAGGAGCCCAGACACGCCTGGTAATTGTCGGTGGGGCAGCTGGTGAGCGTCTGGTAGGAGGCACGGCAGTTGGCATGGAAGTCCGCCAGCCGGGACCTGGGGTCAGGAGAAGACCATGGAGAAAGCAGGTTAACCTGGCTGACCTCCCGTCTCCTCCAGGGCACAGCCGCTCCTTCAGAGCCTCCCAGGGCAGGAGGAAACCAGGAAGGACAGAGAGAAAAGGGAGACGGGGAGTAAACAAGTTTTGGGGGGTTTCAGGCTAGGAGCTCCTTGAGGACAGGTCTTCCTGGAAATCAAGGCATCCAGTTTCGTTGTTGTTCGGTCACTCAGCTGTGTCCAGCTCTTTGTGATCCCATGGACTGCAGCACGCGAGGCTTCCCAGGCCTTCCCTATCTCCCAGAATTTGCTCAAACTCATGTCCATCGAGTCAGTGATGCTGTCCAACCGTCTCGTCCTGTCGCCCCCTTCTCCTTCTGCCAGTCACCCAGCTTAGGCAAAACCCATTCTGAACGGGTCTCTCACTTGGAGGAACACAGAGAGAACCCGGGTGGGTTTGCTGACAATGTCTGGGACTCAGACAGGAAGGCCGGGCTCTGCTTCCTGCTTGGTCACACTCCTGGTGACCTTTCCCAAGTCCTTCAACACATTGCTACTGCCACCCTACAATCCCGAGGGACTTCCCTGGGGGGAGTCCGTGGTTAAGAGTCCACCTTGGAATGCAGAGGATGTGGGTTTGACCCCTGGTCCAGGAACTAAGATCTTACAATGCCAAGAAGCAACTACACCTGCGAGCCACAAGCAGAAAGAGTTCACGCGCCACAACTCAGGACCTGCATGATGCAACAAAGATCCGAAGCAGACAAAAAAATAAATAAATAACCCCTGCCCAGCCACCTCATAGGGCTTCCCTGAAGGCTCAGATAGTAAAGAATCTGCCTGTAATGCAGGAGATCCAGGTTTGATTCCTGGCTCGGGAAGAGGCCCTGGAGAAGGAAATGGCAACCCGCTCCAGTATTCATGCCTGGGGAATCCCATGGACAGAGAAGCGTGATGGGCTACTGTCCACAGGGTGTCTAAGAGGCAGACAGAACTGAGCAACTAACACCTTCAGCCACCTCACAGGGTCCTTCTAGGGGTTAGTGGGACCAACTCCCAGGGAGGTTAAAAAAAAAGAGTCCCCCTAGGATGAGACATCCCTCGGGCATTCCTGACCCTTCTCTTCTACATCAAATCAGAGCAGAGCCTCCATGGCCGTCCCTCCACTAGCTCCCCAACCCCGCAAGGCACAATCAGCATTTCCTTCCCCTGGTGACGTAACCTGTCATCACCTGCTCCTCTCTGCCGGCACGGATAAAGCTGCTTTGTACCCGCCTGCACACAGCCGTGTTCCCAGCGTGACCGTGAGCTGCCAGAGGGCAGCTGCTGTCTGAGCCCGTCTGCCCCCAGCACCTGGCACCTGCATGGAGCTCACAGGAGGCCTCAGGCACCCAAGTTCAACCTGCACAGGTATTTCTACTGCTTCTCCCTCCTGCCCGAGTGCCCCGGGCCCGGGGCTGCTGCCATCGGCCTGAGCCGGGACCACTGCCGCCTCCCACCGCTCAGGCTGCAGTGCCTGAGGACTACGGGAGCCACAGGAGGGCCCACCTGCCGCCCTGCCCATGCTGTCCACACCGCAGAATCTCTCACAAAGCCACCTCGACGATCACCCCAGTTCAGCTGCCCTGCTTCTCCACCGGAACTCTGTCCACATCAGGAAGGATCAGGGAGACAGAAAAGTAAGAAGCTGAGAGAGACCAGGAACAGGACAGCCTAAAAGGAACACCCTCAATGGAGCCGTCCACTTAGGTCCTCCCATGGGACAAATCCTGCTTTGCCAGGAGGCACCACAGTCCCAGGAAAACAGGTATAGGAGAAGGAAGTAGCAGCTCTCCAGAGCAATTTGACCCCAAAGATGCTTCATGTGTCCCTGGGCTCCTGCATCCTGCAGAGACAGCAAGGAGCCGGAGATGGAAGGTGAGCTCCAAGCTGAGAGTCAGAGGGCGGGGTCTCACTTCAGCTCCGCCCCTAACTCACTGCAAGACTTCAGATGAGTCCCTGCTTCTTGCGGGCTCATTTTCCTTATTTATCCAATACACAGAAACTGTTTTCACAGTCGGGGAAGATGACGAAGTTCTGGAGATGGATGGCGGTGTGGCTGCACAACAGTGGGAGTGCACCCAATGCTGCTGAGCTGTGCCCTCAAATCTGGTGAAAATGGCCAGTTTTATGTTGTGTGTAACTGCCCACAATCAAAACGTGACTTATGCAGAGGTCCATTCACATCCACTTATTAGGACCGAGTCCTCACAGAAATTCTGAGATGTGACAAGCAGTTGTTAGCACCCATCCCCCTTTACAGAGGAAGAAGCTGAGCTTCAGAGGAGATCAGTAACCTGCCCAGGACCCCAGAGCTTCTGAGCAGTGCAGCCAGAATTCCAGCCCAGAACCCCAACGACAAGGGCAGCCCCTTCTGGCGGGCTCCCCACCCCCATCCCACTCCTCTACAAAAGTATCCTGTCCTCCGCAGGAAAAGAGAAGGAAATTTGCACTGTCTCCACCCTACCTCCTGCCCATAAATCACACCCTCTATCTGTTCACCCAGTCCCCCAAACAGGGAAAAACAGCACTTCCAACCAAGCTCCCAGCCCCTGCAGAGTAAGACTAGGTCTTGAATGGTCAGATCAGCGTCTGTCCTACATGAGCCCAGCAAATGAACGAAGGTCAATGAGAGGTGGTCTCTGCCTACACCCCAGACCTCCAGAGACCAACCAGGGAGCCAGGAAGGGACACGGACTTAGGCAAGGAGGATCTGGAACGAACAAACCAAAATCTCTAAGCAGCTATCACAGGTTGAATTGTGTCAGCCAAGGAGCCATGTGGCTTCCCTGGTGGGTCAGATGGTAAAGAATCTGCCTGCAGTGTGGGAGACCTGAGTTTGATCCCTGGGTCGGGAAGATCCCCTGCAGGAGGGCATGACAACCCACTCTAGTACTCTTGCCTGGAGAATCCCCATGGAGAGAGAACCCTGGTGGGCTACAGTCCACGGGGTCACAACACGTCAGACACAACTGAGAGACTAACACACACAGGGAGCCAGACGCTCGTCCCTGGTGACTGTGAACCTGACCTTATTCAGACATAAGCTCTTTGCAGATATAGCAAGCTGAGGTCACAGTGGATTAGGGTGAGACCTCAATCCAAAGTCTGGTGTCCTTATAAGCAGAAAAGAAGAGACACAGACACACGGTGAGAATGCATGTGAAGATCCAGGCAGCATTTGAACTGATGCACCTACAAGTCCGGGCTTCCCAGGTGGTGCTAGGGGTAAAGAATCTGGCTGTCAATGCTGGAGATCAGGATTTGATCCTTGGGTCAGGAAGATCCCCTGGCAGAGGAAAGGACAACCCACTCCAGTATTCTCACCTGGGAAAACCCATGGACAGAGGAGCTTGGCGGGCTATAGTCCATGGGGATGCAAAGAGCCGAACACCACTAAGCTACTAAACATTCACACACCTTTACAAGTCCAGGGACACCAAGGAGTGCCAGCAACACCAGAAACTAAAAGAAAGGCGTCAAACAAATTCTCCCTTCAAGCCTGCACGGTCCTGCCAACACCTGGATTTTGGACTTCTGGCCTCCAAAACTGTGAAAAATCAGTTTGTGGGCTTTTTTAATTGCATTATAATTGCCTTACAGTGTTGTGTTAGCTTCTGCTGTACAACGTGAATCAGTCACATGTACACACACATCCACTCCCTCTTGGACCCTCCTCCCACCCAGCCCTCTAGCGTCACAGAGCGCCGAGCTGAGCTCCCTATGAGGCACAGTGGCTTCCCACTCGCTGTCTGTTCTGTACCTGGCAGTGTACCCGTGCCAATTCCAACCTCCCAATTCACACCACCCTCCCTCTCTCACCCCAGGTCCACATGTCCATTCTCTACGTCTGCATCTCTATTCTAACCTATACCAACAGGTTCCCCTGTACCATTTTTTCTAGATTCCACATGTATCTGTTAATACATGATGTTTGTTTCTCTGACTCACTTCACCCTGCATGACAGACCCATATCTTTTCAGCGTCTGTTTTAAGCCGCCCAGACTGTGGCACTCTGTTCAGGCAGCCACAGGCCACGCACACAGCACCTTCAATGACCTCATTGTTTGCCGTGGCCGAAGGTCTCCCTCTAGAAGGAGCCAAGGGCATGTGGTCAGGCCCCAGCAACAAGGAGCACTGCGGCTGGGCAGCAGGAAGCCGCGGCTGAACTCCTCCAGGGCGCGGGGCTGTGAGATTACAAGCAGAGATGCTAGTTACCATCTCCTCCCCACCAAAGAGAAGCTAAAATAGGATCTCTTAACCAAAATACAGAAGTCCATGCTAATGCCGTTTGATCACATGGAGAGCCCAACCCCCTCCTACAAGGGCTCACTGTCAGTCCTGCCCCTGAAGTCCTTTCTGCCCCTCCAGCCACATGGATTTCTCCCATCTCTGCTCCAGCTACATATCCAGTCTGCACAAGGCAATTTCATACTAATTGCATACAGACTTACTGATATGGCCCTGTTTGCTCCCCTCAACTGGAACATACATTCCCAGAGCAGAAGACTCTACTGACTTCTTCATCTATATCCTCCAAACGCCTTTGGACTAGTGGGAGATACCCATTCATCTTTTTCCCAAATACGTATTGAAGTCCCGCCATGTGACTGACAGACGAATGATGGGAATGGCTCACATGTCACTGAACTGTCAGAAAGGACATCCCAGCCGACGGGGTCAGGGCTGAGTGCCCATCAGGCCCGGGGCCAGGCCTCCACAGAGGTCAGTGCCAGCCCAGTGTCCTGGAGGAGCGTGATGCCTGCTGCAGCAGACCTGAGAACCTAGCTCCAACCTCCCCATCCTACAGGGGGGCCTCACCTCCCTTCTCCAATCACTGACACGGGAACATTGAGGTTCTTGGCAGCCTCACGTCCATGATGCCCCTCAAAATATCACCAGACCCCAGGCTAGAGACATGTGAAAATGAGAAATTGACACCCAGAGTGACAGACAAGGT